AAAAATTCACCATAATGCCACAGTATCTGATGCTCAAAATGACCCAGCCCCCTGATTCATATATGTTGCCCTCCAATGTGGCCCCGAAACCTCTGCCCTTGAAAGGATTAAATCCTGATCTTGACTTTGCATTATCGCTTATCGTCTGCTATTTATATATCATTTCAATATCCAGTAAAAGAAATGTATCAGAGTGCTTTTGGACCAACTCTCTCACTTATCTGTAAAACTTCACCCGAGCCTGTGAAATTCCCAGAGTGCACGAACATGTAGCTGCACACTGTGCACACTGGACTGTGGGAGTGTTCGTGCATGTAGGCGTTGGTGAGTTTGTTTAACTGAGATACGCAGAGGGAGAAAAAATAAAAAGTTTGCGTTGCCAGGATACATGAAACTTGAACTCCCCATGGTCAAAGGTGTGTGGGAGAGGAAATGACCGTATCAGGTTTTATCTTGTATGATCAAACAATTAGTTTTTAGTAAACTGTGATTTATTTATCACATGGCAACGTCCACATGTCACTGAAATTCTGCAACATCTGCATCATTTTTTTTTTTTTTTTACTGAAAATGAGATTGACTGCTTCTTGGGCAATGATTTCTTACTCACTGACTTTTTTAATCGCCGTCTTTGAGCAATATGTCATGAGAGGAAAGGTGAATGAGTGTGGTCATCACGAAAGTGTTCAATGGAGAAAGCATGACGTTATTTGGGCAACGTACAGCGGATAATACATTAAATTCAGAAACATAGGGAATTAGAGAACATTTGAAAACACCATCCAAACTAATCCATATATTATGGGAAAGAAAGATGCGGGATTTCTGAAAGAATGGGTATAACTGTACTTGTGATCCAGCACTTTTCATGCTGGGTACTTCATGATGATATGGTAGATAGAGATGGGATTTTTATACTTAGAATTCTATACTTAGAATTCTGCTTTTTAAAACAAATGATAACAGTAACAATAGAATAAAAGATAACAGTTTCCTGGTTGAACCTGCACAAGTTGCACCTCAGGAAAAAAAAAAGCACCACATGAGACTGAAGCTACCGACTTCCTTCTTCTTTCACAGCCTCAAAGTCATTAATTTAACACAGATACAATAGAGATAACTGAAAAGTTCAAAGCCCGGCAAATACTTTGGAATAATAACCTTAATTGCGTCTGGAGCATTTTGAAAATGCAGCAGAGTGAATTATGTCACATGAGCTGGGTGTGTCATGTCCGTCCAGTTCAAGTGACCAAACCACTTTTGGAGAATGTAACATTGCAGAGTCCTGAGAAACACACACACACACACACACACACACACACACACACACACACTCTAACAACACTGTCAACCAAAACTGACCCACTATTAACTGCATATGTTTGTTAGATAGTTGCAATCATGCGGTGTATTTGGGGTTCCCAAACATTTTCAGGGACAAACTTTTTCATGACTTTTCAAGGTATCGTAATAAAAATTCCATGATCACTCACAAAGTATACACAAACAGAACTGTGCAATACTCTATATTTGAATTATATCATTATAGGCAGTCCGTGGACACTGAGCTGTAGAGCCACAGTTCGGTTGGCACATTGATTAATTTGCTCAGAAAACAGAACGCTCAGTACCTTCGAACTAACATGCTCTACTTTTAGAGCAGTTAAACCAAATTCAAAATGTGTATTGGCGCTCTGAGTGATAATAAACGACCTAGGCTGCCTGTGTCAGTTGATCCATCTCAAAAAAGTACAAGTGGACCCTGGAGACTTTGGGATTCATGACCCTACATGTTGAATAGATAGATAGATCTTTATTTGCCATTTCAACACACATGGTTGATTGGAAATTGTCTTGGTGTACATTGCTCATACAGGCAAGTAGTGACAAGATAAAAACATAAAACCAGACAAATGGCTAACACTATACAACTTAAAAGACAATGAAAACACAATGGACAACAGCTCCAAAAAAGATACATTTAAAAACTTAACAATAGTCAAGACACAATGGGCAGTAAAAGTAGCTTTAAAGTATAGAAAAAAGTGCTTAGTAGTGCAAAAAAATTAGCTTGTCTTGGCCCTTGTCTTGGAATCACACTATCACAGCATTGTTCTTCTTGTCACACGTGCCTGCTGTTAGTCAGAGGTGTCAGATTCAAACTCTTCAGACATAACTGCAGCTCGTCAGCATACATGCAGGAGAAGATGAAGAAATGTACATGATGGTAATCGTCACATATTAGAGCTACGTTACGTCAGCAGCTACAGAAAACAGATATGACATTAAGCTACATTACTTGGAAGATTATCCAAGGAAGATTACGGTAACACTTCATTTCATTACACACAACAAAAGTCCATGACTTCTCCAAAACTTTTAAGGATTTTACTAATGCCATGATTTTTCCAGCCCTTAAAAATAAGATTGTCGAATTCCATGACTTTTCCAGGTTTTCCAAAACATGGGAACCCTGTGTATACGTCCATATTAAAACAGCATGGTATAACAACTGTCAGTAAACACATGTACATTTTGTTGAGAGCTCAGACGCCAGTTTATTCAATACACCTTGCTAGAACTAACGTCCAAGGCAGGGGTGTCAAAATCATTTTAGTTCATAGGCCACATTCGGTCTGATTTGACCACAGGTGGGCCTGAACTTTAAACCGCTGCATAATATCCTATAAGTAACAAACACCTCCAAACTTTTACCTTATTTTGTTTAAAGAAGTACATTTCAAAAACACTTGTCCATTTATAAAACAGATGACAAACTGCCTGTGATGTAACTACATGTGCATTTTCCTATACATTTCCACTCCTGTGTCGTAATACTGACATCACCACACCAAACTAAAGTGTAAGAAAAGAACTGTATTCTAGTCAAAAGCATCTGATGCAGCTTTTTACATGAAGACAGCTGCTCACTGTTTAACTTGCTCCTGAAACCTGGCACCTCTTAGTCTTCACAAGGTGTTCAATGTCATCCAATGGGCCAGATTGGACACTCTAGTGGGCAGGTTCTGTATTATTTTAAACGGTTTTTATTTTAAAAAAAATCTCATCCACTCATTCATACAGACGAGGATATATTACATAATTAAAACAGGTCTCAATTCCATTGTAAAAGCATCAATAAAGTTGAGTCAGAATCTTTCTGAAACAGTTTCCACAGAGCTCGAACACCTAATCCTTCATGTACGTTACAGATAGGTGCGCCATGGCTCCAACGAAACTTAACTGGGACCTGGCAAGCGTTGTTTGATTGTATTGTTTAATTAAAACTTTTCATGCATGTCAGTGATACCGGTGACCAGTGACACACTGACAATCATCAGCTATTAGTCACAGTATTGCTGAGAAACACCACCGAGCTACTTGTCTCACCCAAATACTAACCATCACACATGACGTGAATGCTCCACCCTGCCTTTCGCTAGCACCAACACAACAGAAGTGCAGAGAAGGGTGGAGCAATTGCATTAGGTGACAAACTTTCTTACCTCAGGCATATGGCATATGTCACTGTCATAAAATGAACAACTGGAGCGACTTTGCCTTTACAGCTTTTAAATGGGATGTATGAAAACATCTTATGTCGCGGCCTGGCAACACACATGGTTTGTTCTCATCATGGTGGCAATTCGCACCAAACTAGATTGTGCAACAACACACCAACGACAAACAGATTTTAACAGTTTTAAAAGGAGCAAGCAAACCCTGCTACGACACGGGTCAGCTGATGAATTCTGAGTTAGTCATGCGACAGTGATGTTAAGACATGTTGTGTTTTTTGTAGTTCAGATCTGGGTCTTGCTGAGAAATGATTCATCTTTGGTTTCCTTTGAACTGGGCTAATTTACAGGAAGTCCGTTAAGCAATTCTTTGTTTATCTGCAGAAGCTAAAGCGCCTCTGCTGTGACTTATTTTCCTGCAGACTACCACACAGAGTGGACAGTGTGGGAGGGAGAGGTCAGACATTGTGTCACTGATAGAATAAGCAGAAACACATTTATCTGCTCAAACATACTTACTCTGTGTACTGTAAGCCTGAGCACAACCATAATTCACTTTCATTTTTAGTCTGGGAGTGATACAAGAGGGTATTTTGCTGAGCCTGTTCTCCATTTACAGTTAAGACTTCCAGTCCTGAGCCTTTTCATTACGTCCACGCCCATGACTCACAGCAGTGCAGTCTTCCTGACATTTTTCTCACCTTTCCTGTTGCAGCCCCACGTACTCTGACTTCCCTATGCTCTTTTTAAACAAAGCCTAACCCCTGTTACAGTAGATCCACTTGGAAAATGTTTTACAAAGGACACAGGCCCAGTGTTGCTGGATCTGCCCGGTCTCTCTTTTATCAGCAGTTTACAGAGATAGTGAGCGCTTTCGCTGTGGGAGCAGAGCCTCCCCCCCACACCAGGCTTCATTCAGCAAACATTCCTGTGGCGTTAAGTGAGGAGTGCAATTCTGTTCCTCCTACCATAATGCTTCAGTGGTGCAGCAGAGGCGAGAGGAGGGGCGTGCAAGGGTCAAACGCTGAGTGGACCTGGGAGAGGTTTCTGAAACCAGAAAAACAAGCAGACAAACGAACAATTATCCCATGCAAAGTGCAAGAACACAAACCATGGACACTTTAACCGTGTAGCTCCCGCAATTTAAAGCACCTGCACTGCATTATCACAAAAAACTACATTACAGTGCATTTATATGCATTTGTATCCCATATAACACTATAACTATGGAAATTATAGTGTTTATATGTGTTTTGATGTCTTGCAACACTCTAAAATTCCAGTGTTACTTTAAGCAACATTTCCCCCTGCTGGCAGAAACACACACATATATATAAATGCACAGTTTTTACGAGTTGACGTGTGCACTACATAAGCAGCACAACACTGAGCACAGCCTAAAGGTGCCTTCGCCCGCGGGTCTCAAGCAGGGAGGGTGAACACACAGTCTGGGTGTGGCAGCCAAGGTGTGTCTGTGGCTGACTCACTGTCAGCAGCAGCGCCAGATACTCAGAGCAAAAAACTCTCTCCGTCTCTCACACTGAGAACACAAGTGCGGGGGTTTTTCCTGGCGAGATTTTAACACCGAAACAGTGTTATCATCCGACACTTTTTGGACAAGTCACCACCGGTGGAGTTCAACTTCCCCCGTCGGACAAAGTTCATGAAAAGTTTTCAAAAATGGCGAATGTTTTAATTTTGACCTTCTGCCTGGTGTTGGTGAGTGCCTCCAGTTTGCTTTTACATCCTCTTGTACTAATATAAACGTGTCCTCGATACAAATGTAACCGCAAACCTTCCTGTTAAGTGTCGCCAAATAGAAATATTGTTATAATGTATTTATTTGCTATTAAAGGGGACGTTTTTGGTTAATTTTACCACGCTGTGGTTCGATTTGCTGATGTGTGAAAGTGACTTTAAGGCTCGACTTTTTACCTCAGTTCCTGTCAGGTGTGGGCTCCTGTTAAATCCCGGACTCCTTCCACATATTTACACCACAAACACCACCCACCACACACAAAATAACAACAGTTACTGTACTCATTATGTGTGTATTTATTCTTTATCGATCATTTTTGTCTATTATAGCTTGAATGGGCAACAGGAGGGCAGACATTTTCTGTTTCGGCTCAGGACAATGGACGGAAAAGTGAGATGGCAGTTCACGTTGTCCACAGTAAAACACTGGAAAGACAGGTAATATTATGCATGAATATATTCTGCTGCAACAGATTTAAACATGTCAGAGTGTCGAAGTGCCTTTTTTGTTTGCTAAACATGCCTGACCTGTTGTCATGCCACAGCCCAGTGACATCCTGAAGCGCTCCAAGAGGCGCTGGAGTCCCCCACCCTTCGACATCATAGAGAATGACAAGGGACCTTTCCCAAAAAACATTGAGACGGTAATCTTTTAAACACTGTTTTATATATTACTCAAGCATTGTTATGTGTTTTTAATGTTTACACTAGCCTACATGTCTATTAAGTCTTTATCCCTGCATTTGTAAATCCACAAATTCTCTTCATCTTCCTCTTGCTGCACTTGCCTCTATTTTCTGATGCTCATTTTCCCACTCAGATTGTGCGATTCACACACCCAGACACACCTTTTAATTACACATCTTTCCACTGACTTAACACTGTGATTAATTCCTTGGATGTTTTAATACCTGCACCAGGCTTGAGATTGAAATCTGGGTTTCGTTGTGTTTACTTGGATGTGTTTTCGCTTCCTGTTGCAGATTGTATCGGACTCGCAAGCCCTGTATAAAGTGTATTACACCATCAGTGGACCTGGTGTCAACCAGGTTCCAGTGGGAGTGTTCTCGCTTAACAGGGACACAGGGATGTTGATTATGCACAAGGCAGTCGATCGTGAGCAGTACCCAAAGTTTGTAGTGAGTATGAGACGCAGCTGACTGTTATTTACTCAAAGAATCAACTGTTTGGTCTTCAAGTGTCTTAAAATAGTGAAAAATGTCATGATTTCCCAAGGCCCAAGGTGTGAGGCAAAATATTTTTGGAGTTGATGCAAAATTTCAGCAGTAAATCACTTGAAAAGCTCTATAAATCAGTGGTCCCACCACAGAGTCTAGATTTCTTCTTAGTCATTAGTTCAAGATCCACACAGTTCAGCGTCATACTTGTGTTTGGCCATGTCTTTGAACTAGTTTGCCGTCTCTGTTGAGTAGCTGTACGTTAGTCACTTACTCTACAGCAGGAAATAGCACTTCAAAATAAAAGCTCTGTGTCAGAAATTCACTGCACTTAAAAATAAAGTTCTTTTGACATGCAAGTCACTTATGGTTCATTGAGAATAGACCTGCGACCCACTTTTGGACCACGACCCACCAGTTGGAAACCACTGCTTTACCTGACTTATCTGACACTGAAAATAAATTAAACAACATATTATGTTTTGCACGTCTTTGTACTTTTGAAGGTGTTAACCTTGTAAAATTTTATTAATTTCTTCACAGTTAACAGTCAGAGTTTTTGAAAGGAACACAAATAAGGAGACAGACTTGCCTTTGGACGTGGTGATAAATGTCGACGATGAGAATGACAACGCTCCAACATTCCAAGGCTCACTCCAGTATTCTGTGCCCGAGCAAAGCCCTCCAGGTGAAATACATGAACTTGCAATACATGCCGGTAATCCTGTGGTGTTTTACCGTAAGTGTGGCCGATAATAAACTTGACAATTGTGTTTCACGCCACAGGGACAGAGGTGGGGAAAGTGGAGGCCACAGACAGAGATCTGGAAGGAAGCCTCCATGTCAAGATCAGGTATACCCTACTGACAGGATTAGACCTGTTTGCCATCAACCCAGCCACAGGTGCCATCACCACAGTAACTAACACCCTGGACCGAGAGGTGAGCACTGGCAGCATTGCATTTATGATTACTCATATTACTTCATCTAAACATGTTTTTTTACCTTTCCCTCGTATCATTTTGTCATAATGTGTTCTTTAGACGAAAGACAAGTACCTGGTGACCGTACAAATCAAAGATATGGATGGTGCAAATACTGGCCTGTTCAACACAGCAACAGCAACCATTACTGTGGGGGACATCAATGACAACGCACCGACTTTCACAAAAACATCTGTAAGTGATTAGCAATTACGTCTTTGTCATTAGTGTGTTGTGTACTTGTTTCACTAAAAGACTGTCTAATTAAAGTAATACACTTCTTGTTCCTTTCAGTATGCAGCCACTGTCAAAGAAAACGAAAAAGACAAACTCATCCTCCGAATTCCCGTTGAAGATAAGGATTTGATAAACACACCAAACTGGATTACGAAATTCATCATATCTAAAGGAAATGAAAATGGGAATTTCAGAATCGACACTGACCGCGAAACAAACGAGGGGCTTCTGTATGTGACAAAAGTGAGTAAGACTTTGTAATAATATCAAATTAATATAATATAGAGCCGTGCATATTATGGAAAGTCAAGGCCTATAACGCAGCAGTGACAATATTAACAACGTATTCCCTCCCTGTTTTTCCAGCCTTTAGATTTTGAGCGGAACAAAAATGTAAAGCTTGAGATTACCGCACGTAATGAAGCTGAGTTGAAAGGCACCACGGCCCAATGGCTGACCATCCCTGTGGATGTGAATGTACAAGACGAAGACGAGGGTCCTGCATTCTCGGCTCCGACTGTCCGCTTCAATATCAAAGAGAACACACCAAACGGCACGCTGATTGGAAAGTACATAGCTACGGATCCTGAGACCAAGAGCAGCGACGGCATCAAGTAAGCACTCTATATATGTTTAAAAGTGATGTGGTACGGTGTGCCTGATACCAGACACAATCACAGGTAATGCTCAAGACCCTCAAGTTTATGTTACTTCTCTTAAACACTGGAGGGCAGACTTTCACTGCTAAACTGAAGAATGTGCTGCTACTACACAAGTACTTTTTTCACACCCTCTCTCAGGTATTACAAGCTCACAGACCCAGGTGCCTGGGTCAATGTCGACAGAAATAACGGAGAGCTGAGGGTTGCAAACCAAATTGACAGAGAGTCACAGTTGGTCAAGGATGGACTGTACACCATCAGCATGAAGGCTGTTGATGCCAGTAAGTTACTTTTAAATGCTGTATATTTCTTTTCCCATGACTTCTATGAGGCACGGACTCCATACAAGACCCAAAATGATAATATGTAACACAAACACACTTTTATTGTGTAGATTATAGCATACCTGAAAACTAATTGACTGATGAAGAAAAAAAAAAATCACAAGCCTTAATAACGTGCTGCTGACTAATTCTTTACTCACCTTCATTATAAACTCACACTGTCTGCTTTGGGTTTGGCAAATATGCATCACACTGTCACTGAAAGCTGTGGTTTGGTGTGTAGTCTGCATGTCTAATCAACACCCGTAAGCTCTTCGCCTGTAAGTGGCATTGTTACACATTCGAAAGTCACCAGAAACACCAGCTCCACCCTCGTCGGTATGTGTCTGAACAAAAAGCATGCCCTGCCTGTGTCTATCGTGAGAACACCTGTTGACAAGATGTGATGTGACAAGTCACCATGATTCACAGTCCTCTAATGTGGCCGTGAATACTGGGCTCATATCCCAGATGTGTATCAGAATTTTTAATTGCAGGATCATTCATAGCCAAATGATGCCAGAACCCGACCGACTTGGTCTGTGTAGTCTTCTGTCAGTGTCGACCTGCCCTATTAAATGTAGTTATGTAACTCTAATGTATTCCAGGCTCCAAGACAGGAACAGGAACAGTCATCCTTGTGGTGGAGGATGACAACGACAACGTGCCATTGATCCCCACCAGCGAATTGGTGGTGTGTGAGAAGGAAGGAGAGCTCGGCTCTGTGTTGGTTGTGGCTGAAGACAAGGACGAGAATCCCTATGGACCCCCCTTCAGCTTTGTTTTGAAAGATCCTGACGGCAAATGGTCTCTAACTAAATATAATGGTAGGTGGCTGTATTTCTATTTGATCTACGAGTGTCTTTTAACCGAAATACAGGAGAAAAAAACTACTGGAGACATGTTTAACAAGAGCGAAACATTATTGAAACAGCTGTAAAGGAATCGTGCAAACTCCTCTCACAGCATAATCCAAGTCTCAGTTAATGATTCAAATATTTACCATCCCCAAAACAAGCTTTTTATTTTTCTCAGAAAAGCTATCAAAATAAACCACCAACACAAAAGATAACAGAGGCATTTCATGGCCAGTGAATGAGCCAGAAGCAGACATAAAGTTGATTGTTTACAGCCTGACTGATAAGGAATTTTGGCTGATACCAGTATGTAGTGGAAGAGGAATTAAAAGTAGCATTACACACATTACAAGTCAAAGTCTATACAAGTATCATCAGCAAAATGTGCTTAGAGTTTCAAAAGCATGAGCACTTGTCATGCAGCAGAACGACCCGTCAGTTCTCTCTCTCTATATATGTATTAACATCAGTGTGTCATTATCATCGAAGCAGGTAATTTACTCCATAACATATTTCAAGAGCTCATTTCATGTGTTGTGACTACAGCTGTCAAACAAAGTGAACAAAAAACTACAAATATACTTGGAAATATGAGAAAGAAAATTAACCAGAGCTTCTGTAAATGTAATCAGTTACCTTCCAGGACTGGAGTGGCATCAAAGGAGTTTTAAAAATCTGATAATGATATATATACATTCTGAATGTGTTGCTGTTGTTTAAGTGGTTGTTTACCCTATTTGTAATGACAACTAAATTTATGAGACTGGGCTGTGATCTGTCCCAAAATAATTTGCGTTGCCATTTCTTGGAGAAACCTGGGAAAATCTTCATAATTTCTCCACGTGTTTCCACCTCAGACACGGCGGCCACGTTGCAGCACTTGAAAGAGCTTCCTACAGGGATACACGATGTTGCCATGGAGGTTTCAGATCTGCAGGGCAATGGTAAAGTACAGACAGCCAAAGTGAGGATCTGCCAGTGCAGGAATGGAGCCTGTTTGGCCAAGCAACGCTCTGTGTCATTAGGGCCACTGGGTATACTGGCTTTGCTGTTGCCTCTGGCCCTCCTCCTACTGCTCGGTGAGTCCCCCACTGATAGACTCTCTCCAGCAGAATTGTGTAGGCTACACTGTGTAGATAATAACACAGGAATTTTGTGCTCATGCATGTGTAAAAGTGCGAGAGGAGCGATAGAAAGTTGGAGATTCTGTCACTGAATTATGCATTGTACATCGGGCACGGAGCGATGATTTGTGGAGGTGTTACACAGTGTATCACTGTGATGCCTACCACAGGTGGAGCCCTATTTGTTAAAAAACTGCACTCCTTGTACATTAATATCTAACATGCTTGCTTTGTTATTGCAGGCGCACTGCTTGCATTTTTCTGCGCAACAAAGAGAGACAAGCTGGAATTTGAAGATGTGGGAGACAGCGGTGGAATCCTGCTCAAATCAAACACAGAGGCCCCAGGGGACGAAGTGGTAAGGACATAGTAATGAAAGCATTGCCTGGGCTCATACCCTTGTGAAGCAACCTTATTTTTATCCAAACTTTTTTTCTCTCTATTGCTTCATTTCTTTAATTGTTACTTGATTGCTCGTTTTTTGTTTTATTGTTTTTCTCCGCAGGATTCGAGTCTCATCAATGTTCCCACTATGGGGGCTGACCCAGTAGTGAAGGGCTCCGTTAAGGGCTCCATGGTGAATGCAGGATGGCTGGGGAACAAAAGCTCTAGCACATTCGGAGCACAAGAGAACGGGATGTATGGGCAGTCCGGTGTTCACACAACCGATACCAAGGAGTTCTATTCTGGCCAGTATGAAGGCCAGTATGAAAGCCAGTACGGTACTCAGCAGTATGGAGGCACTCTCCTGGGTAGCGGTGCGGCCTTTGACAGCAGATACCTTGCTCAGGACTCAAGTTTCCTCCGCAACTGGCAAACAAATGGCCGCTATCTACACCAGGTAATGTTGTTTTATAGTTAAAAAGAAAAGCTATTTATTTATAGATATGATACAACAAAAAAGAGGTGTTTTAAGATTGGAAGGAGGCACAAAAAGTGGGAGTATGTGGCAGAATTAAATGTGTCCAGATGTGTACACCTTTTATTCTCTGAGGTTTAATAACTTCTTTGTTATCTGTAAGAGCTTAGGTAATTCTCGTGTGTAATGTAATCTGTAAGCCGTGATACTATCCTCCGTAAACTTTATTATTTCTCAACTTCTTGGTGAGAGATATTATTTCTCTGTGTAATATCTGACTGCCAGTCATATCCTGAGCAGCCTCGTCTTATCACACAGTGTAGTATCTCCCCTCCTATCGCTCAGGCTTAGTCCACACCAAGTAATAACACGCTTTCCTCTCCCCTCCACTTTGTCTTGCAGAAGCTGGGCTATTTTGGAACAGAGGAGGACGGGCGGTACGCCGACGACATCGTCCACTCCTACGGGTATGAGGGGGCGGGCTCCGCAGCCGGCTCTGTGGGATGCTGCAGCGAGTTCGGCGACAACGATAACCTCGACTTCCTAAACACGCTCGGACCGAAGTTCAAGACTCTGGGAGAGGTGTGCAGAAAGACATGAACAATGAAGCTCAGAAATAATGGTGTTTACTTTTCCACTGTACAGGATGTAGAGAGGCCTAGGATATGAATGCTTGGTATGCCCCTGAACATGAATGAGAAACAGAACAAGCAGGTGGCGCATGTGTGTGTGTGTGCTCTGCTGTAAGTTTTTGTTGTTGTTTTTTTTTTTTTTTTTTTGCTGCTTTTTGGTAAAAGTCTTTTGCACTGAAAACTACGCAGATGCAGTCTGTTGTAAGTACTTTGTTCTGTGTGTTCTGTGTTGTTTGCCTTCAGAGTCTTGGATTCCCATCCACCCCCATTCATTAGCTATACCTGCTTCTCCTTGTAGAGGGTCGGGGGGGCTGGTTTAGCCGGTTTATGATGATAGTTGTATTTATATATAGGCAGTGAGGGGCTGCGGGCTTTCTATCTACTGTATGATAACAACTTTGGGTATTCTGGTGTCTACTGTGTTGATAGTAAATGATACGATTTTGCAGTTGTGTGGCTGAGTTTAAATTGCTTGCTAAATTTTATAGTTTTGATATATTTTGTAAAGAAAAATAAAACAAATCTAAATGAAATAAAACATTAAAACCGCCTTTTTTAATATTTCACATGAACATGCTCCATTTCGAATTACTGTAAAACAAAAACGTTGATTGTCTTTGACCAGTTTTTCAAACAATACCGTTGACAAGGCATAGTTTAAACCCTTTGTGTCACCGAGGCTGTTGCGACATACTGACAGTAATCCTGGGAAAGTCAGCACAAGGGCGTGGATGTGATGAGCGAGGTGTTACCTGCCACTGCCTACAACTGTCTGAACACAAGACTGACCAGACACAAGAGGAGACAAATGTTCTTGAACCTGCTAATCAAAGGAAACCTTGACGTTCCTGTACAGTATGTGCACATTAAGGTGTTGAAGTTGTAATTTTCCATTAAAGAATGTCTTGGTGAACTTGTGCTGCTGTAGCAGATTCAGTTTTTACAAGTCTAAGTTCATTTAATTAACTACAATATTAAGAAAGGTTTATAGAATAAGATAGTAAATGATCAGTGTTTAAGGCTTTGTTTACAGCTTAGATCCCGGGTTACAGGTCATTTTTATTAGCATTAAATTGTAAAATAAAAAGCAGGCTTCCTCACACTGTTTTGACTCTGTACTTTGGCAGACTGATAGAGCAGAATGTTAAAGAGCACAGACAGTTCATTGTGCCCAGACTCTGTGTGCACTCTGGTGAATGATTTACTGGGTGTGGCACTCTGAGCTTGCACAATATGAAGGGCACAATGTTACACCTACTGCCAAGCTCCTCGCCTCCTGGCTGATATTTACCTCCACTCTTCCACAGACAAGCTGTTGCACTTAAAGGCACAGTCCACCCCAAACTCAAAAACACATATTTTCTTGTTACCTATAGTGCTATTTCTCAATCTCTATTGATTCAGGGTGAGTTGCTGAGTGTGAGATATCGGCCGTTTCTTTGAATTTGAAAAACTCTACAGCAATGTCTCTTTCCAGAAATCATGACCCGCCTACTTAAGATAATCCACAGGTCTTGCTGTGAGCAGTTTCATGTAGGAACTATTTTCTTTCTTCCGAATTACACACACCACTGCTAATGGACGAGAGGCTTGTGCTCATGACAGTGAGTGAGATGTAATCATTAATGGCATCCTCCTGACCTGTAACTGGAGTCCTTTTTAAACAGGAATTGTGCAAATTTGCAGGAAAGCCCAATCACTCTTTTTTCAGCATTGGCAGTATAAAAACAAAATCAGGTAGTGCGGCAAAATGCCGCCTGCCTACTTTTGTTTATACAGAATGTGCCTTTTTCGGGGCAATGGGGGGCGTGAGCAAGTAACGAAACGTGTAGCTCAGCATGTGACGTAAACAGTGACGTGGGAGGGAAGCCACGGCTGGTCAGTCCTTCGGCGATTCTCTCGTAAGTCTTCTTCACCGTCCCCGTCATCTGACGGTTAATGGCCTCTTCCTTTGCGAGGACAAGGAGGGCGCACAATTCCTTGTCTCCCCAGTTGCTCATCTTTACAGTGTCTGTCAGGTTTGCGTTTCCCTCTTGCTACCAGCTGCTCGCTAATTCCTGCTATCAGCTGTTTCCTGTTTATCCACCGCCAGTGGCTCGCACCTGCAGCGTCATCAACTGCTCCTCCCACAAGTCTTCAACAGCCCCTCCTGTTGCGGAAGGCCACCTCGGTCTGTTTAACTAAAAGGGTTCTGCCAATATGACTACCCTACGAGGCGGAAAATTGGGCACCTCGGATCAACTCACCAATCCGGCAAGCTGCGAGCGTTTAGACACACAGAGCTGTGTGTCTAAACGCTCGCAGCTTGCCGACAAAATGGCCCAATATTCGCGGAAAATCTGGCAGTGTAAAAGGGGCTTTTAGCTAGCTAACTTGTGCTAGGTGAGCTAGCAGTAGATGCACTCTTCCTTCTGCAGCAATCAGGGGTGTAAATATGGACAGTACAGGCAGCCCGTGGGATAGAGGGGCCCGATTGCCATCTGGAAATATGCCCGTGTTTAAATTTGAATTTTATTAGCACAAAAGATGTGATGAAAACAAGTATATAAAAATAAACATGGCAGAGATTGTGCAGGAGAGGTAAGCAACCTAAAGGGGCTTATGGTGAAAACCTTACCTCTAGAATTTTAAATGTATTGTAATACAACAAACAAAACAAGTAGTTAGAATAATCCTTAATGAAACAGACATACACATAAACAGAAATTGTTCAAAGAACTCACATGAAATCAAAAAAGGTGCAATTTTCTGTATATGCCCTCGAAAAGGCAAAACCATCTCCATCATAGTTTTCTGCTTTTGTACACAAGCATCAATCTATAACAAAATTATAGACATATTTCTGCATAAACTATATAAAAACCAGAATTTAACTCTAAAAAAATATTCAGTTAAACTAATATCTTCCTATTTTCTTTTGTAGTTTTTATCATATACAGGTGATGATTTCTGAGTAATATGTATGTTGTTGTCCGATATCAAATCGTTTAATCCTGTAACGAGACGATACGATTCACAGCAGCTAGTTTAGGTGCAAAATCTGGGCACATCTGCAAGTGGATGTAACATAAAAGCAGCAGTAAGACACACTGTTGGTAAAATATATATACGCCTAAAACTCTGTGTGCATGTGTGTGCTTCATAACTAGTAACTAGGGCCCGTCATAATAGCGTGCTACAGTTGGCTGGTGTAGTTTGGTAGAAAGAAACCTGTTCCTACATGAAACTGCTCACAACAAGGTCTGTGGTTTATCTTGATTAACCGAGTCATGATCTTTGGAAAGAGACGTTGTTGTTGAGTTTCTCAAATCTTTTTTTTGGCACTTTGAGCACCACAAGCTGAGTGTCAGTGTTTAGTATTGAGCTCAATTATATCAGAGCAAAGGCAGACATCTCCAAGGCCAATATCTCCAACACTCGCCAACTCACACCAAAACAATCCAGACAGATAAAAGTATTTTTGATTTGGTGGTAAACTGTCTCCTTAGACAGTATCATTGTGCCTTCCCTGTAATAATTCAATTTTCTCCATGGCAACAGTGCTGTACTTGTTTTCCCAAACTTTAGCTACACTGTGATTTTAATCTCATTTATTTCTTAACTGCAAAATAAGGCTGGGTGATATGATGAATATAAATATCACAATATTTTTGACTAAATATTGATATTGCGACAATTTTGTAGAGTTGGCTAATTTTTTAAAAAATAAATAATTATTAGGGGTGGAAATTACCAGAGGCCCCATGAAATGATATTATCACAATACTTAAGTCACAATACAGTATTATTGGGATACTAAAAATTGAGTATTGCGATAAAATATATTGCAAGATATCGCGATTTATGACCTTTTTTGAACTGCAAATTTTGTCCCCAAAGGAAAAATTTATCATTATCTGTTTTATCTAGATTTTTAGTCTCACTTAAGTCTTGCAATTGACTATATTATTCTAGTATGCTACCAAAAGTTTAATTTGTATTTTTTTTAAAAATATAAATAATTTAGAAAATAAAAAAATCAGTACTTGGCGTCCATGTGACGATACGATATTCCATACAAAAATATCACGATACTACGCTGTATTGATTTTTTCCCCCACCTTTAAATAATGATGAGTAGTGTAGATAAAATGTCTAAGTGGGTAAAGGTAAATAATTCATCAGCTAAAACAGTCCAGTAAGTTCAGAAAATTACCTGACTTTACTGTAATACAGCCTTAAAAACCAGGGAAAATCAAAGATATAGATATCCAGTGCCATATCATGATATCGATAGTGTATTAATATATTGCCCAGCCATACAGCTGACAACTTTGAGACAGATTTTCCTGTAGGGTCCAATCAAAGTTGCTTCCACCTAATTATTGATAACATATTTAAAATGGTGGGATTCTGTCGATGTGAAGCTCAGCTGCATTATGCACAGACCTCCATGAATAAATAATACAGTATAGCAAATTGAAATCCACCACGAGTTCTTGATGGTATCACGTCCAGGCTGATTGTGGGTCATTAATTTACAGATAATACAAAAAAAATCATCGGTGCTCGCAAACAATCCACCAACTTTTTGTTGAGCTGACATGCAGAACATGCATCAGTGTGATGAATTACAAATCTGAAGCTGGAAATATAATTAGAGGGTCTAGAACGGACCATCTGTCATATGATCGTGGTGATGAGTATCAAAGATGACAGCAGAGAGCAGGGGGAAAAAAGGGGAAATTAAATCTTGGAATGAGTCGGGTCTCCGGTACGATCAAACACTGGAATCTTGTTAAAAATACAACAATATTATCTGCACAGATTACAATGATACTGTCACAATTATGGGGGGATGTAAACGAGATGGGAACATCAAGGGTTTTTGCTCAAAATCCCACCGGGGCCAATTAGGAGAATCTCGAAAAGTCACTTAACTCAAAATAATGAAAATAAGCAGTTAACCCAAATATCTAAAGAAGGCACTTGAAGCACAGGCGGCAGCTCTATTACCCCTATTTTACCAATAAACAGCCTTTTTTTCTTTTTAATTACTACCCTCTGCAGAAATAAAGCGTTTGTGTATAACTGGTATTCCTCAAATCTGCAATGAAAAGCTACAATGATTCAAATTCCTTTTTTGGAAAGACATTTTTCAAGAGCTCCATGCAGTGTATTTACCATGGTTACCATGGGCCAGGTATTTAACATGCTGTGGATATGAGAGTTCGTGCTCTCTGTTGTGTCAAACTAGTCACAGTGATGACACAGCACTGAGACCTGGGAGTTACTTGAACAGCAAAAATCATTTGACACACAGTGTATTTATAGATGCGTACCATTCAATGGGTGTGAAATGTATCATGGAGGTCCAAACTGAGAGCCAGGGAGGACAGAGTTTGACAAGCTGGTAGCAGATCTTATATGATAAGATGCCTCATTTGGCTTCTGCTGTATGCCGAATTACATTTTCACACAGAACACAGTTAGTGCAAAAGCAACATTTCTGTAAAGGCTTCCTGCACAAAACAACACACTGTCCTAACATATGGTGAGAGTGTGCCATGGGAGCTGCATGACAAAAATACCTTCGCGGCAATTAACACGACAACAAACCCGAGTTTTAGATCATTTCTTTGAGGATTATCGAGAGCATCCCTATGTAAAAGCAATGGCACTGATAAGCCGCGTAATTCAATAGACCACTTTGTGTGTCCACCCTTATCAGAGCTGCTTGAGCCATCACTTCCAGTCACTTCTGTAAAGATGCAATTAATTCTAAAGCAGTAGCGTGAAATTAATTTATTGCTTGTAATTAGTTTTCGGCATACTGTGAAAACAATCTCTCCAGATAGGGTGTTTTCACCCTCCACCAGAGAGTCTGAGGACACTTGGCTCCATCTGAGTTCAATATGGAGTGGTGCCTTCAGCTGCC